GAACGAAATTATAGGAGTTATTAATAAACTTTGTGAAGCATTGCAACAAAAGTCTCAAGATATCTACCCTAAATGCTGAGTTTGATATCTACCATAAAATGACTCATTCAAAAGTTACTTATTTTTGTAATAGCCAAGTTATTGAAATGGTTTATATAAGTGTTTTTACTTTGTAATGCCACCCCTAATTAAACTTCTAGCTCTGCCGCTGGCTATAAGTGCTATTTAAGTTCATAATGCCTTAGCACTAACATATATATATATATATATATATATATATATAAGAATTGAACATCCAATCGTTTGCTTTAAATACTAAAGCTGTTACTATTAATGCTAACTAAAGCTAGGGTTTTTCTTTCATCATTTAATTATTAGAGTTTTTCATTCCCCCTCCCCCCCCCCCGGGGGTTAGGCTTGCATATAATACTTGAAGATCAGCTTATATAGTTACCTAATATACTCACTCCATTAAATAATGCAAATTATTTTTCAAGGGGTTGGGTGGTAAAAAATGTAAAACATTTTTAATGTTTTAAGGCGTAATTAATGTATTTTTTAAAAGTACCCATAATAAATAAATCACTTTATATTTATTTTAAAGTGAAACACTCTATGAAATAAGTATAGTTTGGAGACAGTAACTATTTTATAGGAGGACGGGATTTAATTAAAAATACTTTACATTTTATAATAGAGGAAGTATGTGAATATTCATATTGGACATGATTATTCATTGGTATAATTTTATTGTCAACAGATATAATTATAATTTATCTTAAAACTTTTTAAAGTGTAAAATATTTGATGATTGATTATATAGTTAAATAATAATTTAGCAATTACGATTACAATTGAAACGCAGGTATCTATGGTAATCTCATTTCATATAAAAGATTTCAATTTTTTTTTGGGTTCACATGCTTGTTTATATATTAATACATATACATATATATAATATAAAAATTCTATTCATAAATAGTATAACTTATCTATTATGTTTGGTGAAGATACCACGTTATGAAATACAAAATGCTGTGACATAGGTATTGGGAAAGCTCCGTGCTATGTACTCTATTTTCATACGGAGTCATTCTTGGCCATGCATGCTTTTACTATTATCAAATTTCTATGACTATGACTAAGAAATAGGAATTACTCACATCGGCAATTAAATGCTGTAGTAATATATAATATAGTGGAAATAGTGGCCAAAAGAAATAATAATAATAATAATAATAATAATAATAATAATATAACATATTGGAAATAAAAAAGGCTTTTCCAGAAGAGTAGTGGTAATTGATAATATTAATGAATAATGAATGTAATTCGTATCAGAATCAAAAGTTTAAAAGGATAAATTTTTCTTCTGGATGCCGCATCTTCCGTCACTGATCATATGGATCTCTACACTCTTTACTTAATTTATTTTTTGTGCCAGATCACTAAGATTGTTCTCTATATCATCATTTTGTCCCGAATATGTGGAAAAAGTAACTAAGTTCAAAATTTCTTACAGCATTTTGAAGATCAAATTATGTTTATGTTAAAGATATATATATATATATATATGTATATAATTTATTTGTATTTATAATAATAAGATTAAAATATACAAAATTTCTTTTTAACTTTGAGGTAGATGCACAAAACCTCACCTATAAAAATTTAAAATTAATCTCTCTAACATTTAGTTGTTTTACCACAGACTCATCTACTGTTATTTTTTTAGTTATTTTACTAATAGAAGTTATCATGTCATATTAAACAAAGACATGTAGCTTAAGTGATATCCATGTAAGCTAATAATAACTTTATAAATATTTTATCAACATTTTTGGCTATCATTAACGTATATCGAATGTCACATAAACTACTAGGTGCCTTTTCTTAACATACATGATATTCGAGCCTTACAATATCCCTGAGCGCACGGAGAGTTGACTCAACCTGACCACAAGATCTGCTGTTTGGTGCAGCACTACTTCACCTCCATATATCAATGCATGTTTTTAATTTGTCCCTTCAAGAATTGTGAGATTTGTTACTCACCTTTATGAAGTGTGTGTCCACACCTATTGTTTTATTTTGTTAAGGTCCTTCAAAGGAATTTGGTTTTAAAGAAAATACTTATGAGTGCTATAGTAGTAGATATGTAATGCGCCTATTTGGTTCCAAAATTGTTTATATTTACGCATTTTATTAAGGGGAGATTCTTTGAACTTGTGACGAGTAAATATAACTTTTATTTGTTTTCATATAACTTCTGCTGTGTTGCTTTTTTGTTGTTGTGTTTACTTGTGCTACTTTCGGTTGTTTCTGTTGGTTTTTGACGTATTGTGCACCCTTGATGGATAAATATTGATAGCCCAAGCCCACATTATATATTAGCAGGTCAAATTAATAAGGGAAAAATATGAGGGTCTTAACTGCAAAATATCCCAAAATTCATTTTGAGTAATGAGAAGGAACGGTTAAAGTATTAAACGTATGCACGTTGCCTTTATCTTCATGCGTGGAAGTTTTGTGGCAAGTGGATGTGTGAAGACTATATCTTTTATGGGGGAGATATTAATAAGGCAGACTAAGAAAATTGAAGGTACTTTATTCACACCCAATTTGTGAATTTGGAGGCTTGGACCCAACTCAAATTAATTGGCTTCAAAATAATTATAAAAAAGAATATTTATGAAACCTTAGCCATTAAGTCAAAACTATCACTTATGATAGGTGGCCACAATGAAGGAAGTGCTTTCTAAATTCAAGAAAATTGGTGATCATGGAGCTTAGATACCAAGTTAGGATCATTTATAAATAGAGGAGCTCTCTCTCAATAATGGCATCAAAATCAACAACATACCAATCTCAAACTCGCATTTGCTACTTTATTTTATTTTTTTCTTTTAGCATGTAGTTTTGGTCTTTATTTTTCATTGTACAACATACATAACCCGCCACCTCTTTCTTTAATTAATGTATCTCTGCTTTCCTGCATATACATTAATTTTTTTTCCTTCATATTCTCACATCCAGGTGATCGCTGTGGTAAGGAGCTTGGGTTCCTCACATTTAATTAAAAATTTGGTTCTTTCATTCTTTTAAGGCCCCACTTTCTAGCACGCCTCATAACACCATGCCTGATTGTTTTTTACAAACATGCTCTTTTTTCTCTTCCACTTTTCCTCTCGATGCATTTGCTACATACAGATATAATTCAATGCAACTTACAAGTATGGTTTTCAGACTCTATAAATCTATAGTTTCTGTTTCCGACTTTTGGCTCTGGCTCTATATTATGATAGCGGGGTCTTAGTCACCCATGATTTTAATATTTGACATTTCAAATAACATAGTCAAACCTACAATATCTAGAAGATCATTCTTATATGTTGGAAATATTAGTTTGACATTTAGTCACTTTTTATTATATCTTATAAAATACATATGGAGTTTATATATAAATATTTGCAAAGAGATGTGATAATTTGCTCAAAACAATATATGAAAAAATTTTAATTTGGCCTCTCATTCGATTAAATCTCATGATATATAATATTTTGAAGTGAAAGTTAACTGCATTATAAATTAGACTAAAAGATCATTTTCACAATACACTACGAATCAAAATTGAACTCTGAAACACAGCTCAAATTTGAGTCTGTATAGATGCATAAAATAATTTTGGCAGAGTTATTCCAAATAGACTTGATAATGCTCAATTACTTCTATATATATACATATATTCAGTGTAACGATCATACATTCAGTGCAACCATCATATATCTTACGATAGTTGTTGACTATTACATCTCAGCTTGCGGCTTCAGCAGGAACAGTTTTAATCCCAAACAATTAAATTTTATAAGGATCTACAAATATGACCTTTAATTTGAAACTTGAATATATTTACAAATTAAATAGAGTTGAAGTGCATTTTTTCCCTATACTTTCCTTCAAGGAGTGCTAAGCATCGTGTTTTAATAAGTAAGGCATTTTTTCTCCTAAACCATTTTCTATAGGAGTGAAAATCTCCCTCCATTAGGTATTTTTGCTAACGGAGAGGGATTTTTGTGTGCTCCTTAAAGGAAAGTAGAGAGAAAAATGCACTTTAACCCAACTAAATAATAAAATAGGTTATAACAAACTGATTTGAGTTATTGAGTTTCAGAGAGAATTAATCACTTTTGGAGTCAAAACTAACGAAATCTCTCTATCGTTTATAATCATATATATTCATCTTGCATGCGCGCGCGCGCGTCTTAAGAGACTTTTTTTGAGAAACATTATTCTTGTATGATTATTGCAAGGGTGCGCATGTCAATTTGAAAGAAAATAACAGTGAAGAAACTCTTCAAGTGATTATTTCAGTTAACTTAAATCTTTTGCATCAATTCACTTCAACTACATATTATAAATGCTCTGCTTTTGGGTATAGAGGTTGTGTATTTATACCATGAATGAGCCCAATGGATAGAATGGGCCCAAAGCTTTATTAAATGAGTTCAAGTGACTTGGAAATCAGGGCACGGAATTTACAATTAAAAGTGGAAGAAGAGCACTAAAGATGGCATCAAAGAATTTGTGAACTGTCTACCTCCCTGAGTCTGCTTCTCTTCTGTCTGACCCTCCTGCTTTACTTCTTAACTGTTCCTCTTGTATTTAGTTGTCGATGCTTCATATTTTTGAGTTGTAATTGTTTTAGCCGAACTATCTTTGGCTTTATGCCTCTGGCTAGAGAATATTTCCATTTGAATACCAGTTTTCCCTAATATTTTCTGTAATTTTTGCCTAGCAAGATTGATCGCCGTGAAAATTTCATGCCCTAATGATTAATGCAAAGTTTTTCTTGATTGACATGTAATTGTTAATTTGTTCATTATTCCTCGAAAAGAGGAAGGTTCAAATTGAAGGTTATTTAATTTCATGAAAGGTATACAGATCAAATTCCATTCATTTGATCACAACAGATCTAGAAACTAAAAAGTTCAGCACTTGGCACATTTGATAGCTTTACGGTCTATAATTTATAGAGTCATCTCCAAATAACATAAATGTTTCCTGATGAAATGACTCATACCATATATGCATTATATGCTATTCTAATTCTAACTCTCTTGTTGAATTGAAACATCTCTTACACGAAAGTCGGTGGTAGCATGGTGTTGAGAATGCAGATCAAAGAGCCACTGCTAAAGGAGCTGTAATCTGTCATAAAAATCAAGTGCTTAGCTGTAATTTTTGAGAATGAGCAACATTTTCACATACAAATATGTGTGTGTTCGAGCTGTGTATATTTTTTTTTCCTCTTATTTATAAGTCACTTATAACCAGTGGCAGAGCCACATGCTGTTGAAGGGGAGCATACACTTGGGAAAAATAACACATATGAGGTTATATGTTTTAATATTTTACAGTTTGCTCTCTCTCTCTCTCTCTCTCTCTCTTACTTTGCACCTCTTATTTTAAGATTTCAAACTTTAAACACATTTTAATATTACATTTAGCCCAGATCTAAAATTTATATTTTTAACTTAAAGCCCAATGAATATTAGCCCATAATTTCCCTAATCCTTTTAAAAAATAGAAAAAAATTAATTTGACTAAACTAAACCTATGCTGTTCATGTTTTGAGAATACTAGTTAAGGATTAGTCAGAAAAGAGGAAACAAATAATGAAGATTCAAAATTTAAAAGTAAGCTCAATGAATGCCTTTTGTTATTTCACTGCACTTGCCGGTGTATAATTAAAAGTTAAATAAAGAAACAACAATTGGAAAAAAAAACAAAGGAAGAGAAAAAGCGGATTTGAAAAATATAGAAATATTTTTCTTGTACCAAAGTCTAGGCTTCACCCTTCAACCCAAGATCCTAGCTCCACCACTGCTTTTAACATATTTCACTAGAATTAAGAAAAACTTTAAAACTCATTCTATGTAAAAATTTATTAAAATCTCAACTTTGCCCCTGTTAAATATACATACTTTAACAATCTATTTTTCCTCTCCAACATTTAATAGAGGGTAAAAGGAAAAATTTGTAATAAAAATTTAATAAAGTTACTTATAAATAGGACCCAAAAAATATTCTCTCTCTATCCTATAAATAGAACTAGAGGGAGTATTTATTTCATTAGTTTGAAGGGATATACCCCAATTCCATTGCTTTAGCTGGTGATTCACTAGATTCAGACAGTGGCTGGCTCAGCTGAAGATGGATAGGTGAATGTGATCCATATTTGTTGCTGATAGTGTTTGTAGGATTAGAATTCCCACTTTCCTCATTCATAACCCTTGCTTCACAAATCTAAGGAAAGAAAAAACAAACTCTGACAACTTTGAAAGAAAACTTCAAACATTTAGCTTTTAAATAAATAACACAGGCTCACTCTAGCTAGGTGGTGTCTTCCTCTTCCCTCCTCTGTTCTTGTGTAGTTAAGGGACAACTTGTTGATTCTATAATCATATCTGCCCTTGAGACTGGATTAAATGATATCAATGAAAAGATAAATACCTTCGTCTGTAATTCTGCATTTTCTTCACTGATGACTTGTATCGTTTTATGGAGTTCTACATTTTCTTGCCGAATTTGATTACCCTGCAATAGAATCAATAAATTATTGAGAATGTGTGGGAACTCCAATCTTACATGGCGAGATCAAAAACATAATTCTTGGATACCTTTTGTTGTAGCTCTTTAATCTCTTCAGTTAAAATTTGATCCTGCAGACAAATCAATGATCAAGTTATGGACATGGTATATGCTTGTCCTGCAAAACTGATGATACATTAATTAAATTAAATGTAGATATGAGTTGAAATTATCTCTCTTACTTTTTTGATTTGGACATTCTTCAAACTCATCTCCAGTTGATTTTCCAAATTTTTCAATTCATTAATGCCCAAACCAGAAAGTTGTTCACCCATCAATTGCCTGCATTTTCCCAAAGGAAACAAAGTACACTTAAGGCTTACTACATAGTTCCAGTTTGTTATATTCAGAGTATAAAAACGAGGGAAACAATTGCGCTTTTGAAGAGATATAGTTTATGATAGTTGAGTGACTTCAGAAGTAACGTGTTGAGGGGCTTGGTCATCTGCATTTTCCATGTTGAGATTAACATTTTGCTATCTCAAAGTAATTAATAATTCTCGTACCAAAATGTACATGATTTTCTTATTTGTACCTGTGCGATTCCTGCAAGTGTTGCAGTTGCTGCCTCAAGACCGTTGCTTCTGTCTGCCAAAACTAACAAGTGCAAGCACATGCATAAAAATATTATTAGTTAATCAATCGCAAAGGAGTGGGCAGGATATAAGAAGGAAGATGCTTCCAGGTCCACATCTCTTCATTGCACAGGCCTTGTAATTCGTTCATATTAGTTGGTCAATTAGTTAACCTATCTTGATATAGAAAGTGGACGGCAAGTTGGCATGACATTTGTGGAGGGAAAAATAGTAGAAAATCATTTAAGATGTGGTTTAATTATATACAAACAAGAACGGGGCATATGGAGGTGCTAGTGAGAAGGAGTGAGAAAAAGCTTACTCCGATCCCATTTATAAATCACTTTTAACATGTTTAACTAAAATTAAGAAAAATTTCAAAAGTTATTAACTCTCTATAAAAAAATTAATAAATTTTTAACATTGTCTCTGTTAAATATATATATTTTAATCTTGCACTTTCTCTCACCACCATTTAATGGAAGATAAAAGGGAAAAATGTGATAAAAAGTCAATGTAATTCTTTATAAATAGGACTAAAAAATGATTTGTGGTATTTTATACTCCATTGGTTTCAAAATATATGCATGTCTTTTAAGGTATTTGCAAATAGATTAAGAAATGTAATTAATACCCAAGAATATTAGTTTTTTTTTAATTCCATTGCTTGGTGTTCTGAGAAACTTGGGGGAATTACCACTACTCGTTGATCTGTGACTTGAGAATCAATATAGACTATAGGTCGTTTCTTATCGCATCTTCTCTTGATCTATGTTTAACTACATAGATCTGATCCATTTTAGTTTCTAGTGTTAATATTATTAGACCATACACATGGGGCATGGTGATTCCCTTTAGCTTCTGAACTCAAGTCTTCTTATCCCATCTTCTCTTGATCTATGTTTAACTACATAGATCTGATCCACTTTCATTTCCAGTGTTAATATTATTAGACCATACGTATGGGGCATGGTGATTCCCTTTGGTTTCTGAACTCAAGTTTTGTTATATCTTTTCTCCAATATTCTGTAACTGTTCTTGCTTCTTAATCTTGTTTGGAGTTAAATATAACATGCTGACAAGTGCAAGTATATATATACTAACTATTGGAGTTGTATATGATTTACGAATGTCAAGTAACTAGAATGAAGAAACATTAAAAATATCTTGTACCTTTGCTTCTGAAGCTGGATTCATAAGCGGATGATGATGCTCCTCCTTTTGTTTATTATAGCGCTCAATAATTGACATCATGCTGCCACATATAAGTAGAGAATTCAATCAATAAGATCAAAATCAAATTTATGTAAATATGAAGTTATCCCTTTAGACTTGCTGTACCTTGAACACATGGTATAGATCATTCTAAGCGATCATGCCCTCTTTTTGGGTGTCATATAATTGATTATTTTTTCATCTTGAGTATGAAAAACTCTATAATTTTTCTTTCTTACACATTTAGGGCCACTGGCTGCTATAAAGAATGAGAATGAAATGGATTATAAAAACTCAGGTAACCAAAACAGATCTAAATGTGGAGAAGAGATAGGTCAACCATGTTCATAAGAGATAAGAGTAATTTAGTTCATGATATTTGGGAGTTTTGATTCATGAGGTATACAAAAAGTGTGGTCATTAATCTTACATTTATAATGTGATATTAAGTTTTATCATACTTAACATGAAGGAGAGAATAATTTAATTCATTTTTGCTTTGATTTTTTTTTAATCAATTCCATTATCATATTTTTTTTAGCAATCAAATGGGTCCCTTTAGATTTCTAAGGACATTACAAGGGTAAAAGGTTTCTGCAACAATTAAGTGAAAGGAGTATGATGAGATTATCGCAATGCTTCATATTTGCCCTTGCTCTAGAAACCTTGCTTGGCGTGCCAAATTTTGGTTCTTATGGAAGTTGATGGCACGATTCAAAATCTGAGTTTTTGACCGATTCTTAAACTAAACCAATGTAATCCCACATAACAAATCTAGAATGTATTTGTTGACCCCAAATAACTACAAAACATGAGTTATTCATTCAGCTACGCAATAATTAGAACAGAATGCAAAATATAAAAAAAAAAAAACAAGCATTGCATATCAACCATGACCCTTTTATGGTTGACATAACATTTCAACTTTTTGAATGCATCATAGTAGCATCATGACGTCAAAGGATCCTGCATTACCAATAATTACCAAATAACCACCTGGCCTACATAATATACATCGGAAGGTCAGCTAGCCACAAGCATGTTAGCCAGCTTCATATTGATCTGATCTGAAAAATTATGGAGGGTTGAGTGAGTTTATTAGTGGGGGTATGAATAATGAATTGAGAAAAATGGAAGCAAGGCACGCAAGAATTTTTTTCCAAAAAGAAAAAAATTGTGTTGTTCGTTGAACTTTTACAAAATTAGTGATTTTTTGATTGCCTATTATTGGTTTGTTATGTTTATATTATCTGAAAAGTAAAGGTTATCTTGTGTCTGGTTATACATACAGTAAAAAGTTCTTTTCAAAATAATTAAAAGTTATTCAAAATAGATTTTTCACGATAATAAAAAATAAGCTTTTTCCATTTTTTTAAAAAACATTGACAAGTACCCTGAAATTTTTTTAAGCGTAATTTTTTTAAAAAGGTGATTTTTTATTAAATAATATGAAACAAATAAGCCCTTGATAAATATCATTGTGCCCATACATCTACATAAGACGCTTTTAATACACTGTATGATATGTGATAGATAGGACATGATGATCTAGCTAATTCGATATATGCGTCATTTATTATTTTTTTGGTAATAGATCTGTTATATTTTTAACTCTTAATGTAAAGCCTTTTTTTTTATAATATAAATAATACTACCCCATTCTCTGTTATAGATTACATTCTATAGAGTTTCTACCGTCTTCAATACAAGTCACTTTTATATCTATCAATAATGTCACAACATCTAGGTTTGTAACTACTTCTCAAGCTAGCGATCGATTAAGCCAATCTTTGTCTATCATTACAATATTTTTGTTCTATGGCAGCATTTTGAAACTATTGCAACAGGGTAAAAAATCATTGCCTATAGGTATAACAACAGTTTTTGGGCGTAGAACCTGCCCCCGTTACTTATATAAGATAACAGATTTTTCATTTAGGCCATAGATATAATAAAATTGTTGCCTATATTTTGCTTACAATAATTACTTTTATCCTCTGTTTAGCTGGAAGGAAGGAGAGGAGGAGAGAAGATTTTAAAGAGTTCGATTTTTTTTAAAAGGACAAAATAGTATTAAAAGCTTTTAATAACTTTTCTTCAACTTTCCACTTATATATCTCTATTAAAAATCTCACTTGTCTTATCATTAAAAAAAAAAATCACACTTGCCAAGGTAAATTATATATATACATCAAGTCCCATGTTCATCTACATTCCACTATAAGCAAATCATTAGAAAGTTATAAAACCAACCATATATATAACATGCAAATAGTTTTAAGATCTCTGGGTGTGTGTGTGAGAGAGAGAGAAGGGGGGCATCTTAGCCTTCTTTGTAGTTCAAGTGCCCCATGCAAGAAGATAATGCCACTTGCATGTCAATTATCTCTTGCACAGCCTCTTAAAGTTTTATTTAGAATCAAAGCTAGCTGCTTGTCTTGCCTGTTTAGAGATTACATATAATATTTGTATAATGTGCTTTCTGAATTCTTTAAAAAAGCTTTATTTGAACTTTAACTGCCAGTTTGTGTGGTGTCTTCTATATATTTGAACTTTAGAAAGAGTCAAGTGACTTTGCCAGTCTGGAGAGGGACGTGGATAGTTCACACTTCTCAGGATGACCTATACACTAGAGTGAAGAGTAAAACTTTTAGTGCTTAAATTTTCTTTTAATTATTAATCTAATCCTTTAATTTTAGGAAAAAATACATATAAGTCTTTTGGAGCAGATTTATATACAGATAAGTCTTGTAAAATTTAGAAACTACTATCAGATCCCTTAGGGCATGAGTATAATTTGAAATTAAGGTGAAAAGATATTATTGCAATTACTTATTAGGTTTAATTGTTAAATATATGAAATTATAGTTATTAAATATTGAGAAAGTTAATTTTTTAATCATTTAACTTTTAACTTATTTGTAATTCAGTCTTTCAACTATGGCTTATTACAACTTAGTCCATCAACTTTTGATTAACTTATAACTTAGTCCTTATTTTTTATATTTTTTTAAAAAAATTATCCTTATTAAAAAAGAGGGCTAAAAAAAGTGCTCATATTTTGCTTTAAAATACCTTACTCTTACTCTTTGATGTGAGATCTAAACTAATATGAAAAAAAAAATCTAACAAAAATTGATGGATTAAGTAACAGACGAGTCAAAAGTTAAAAGACTTAGTTGTAGACAAGTCAAAAGTTGATAGACTAAGTCATAATGAGTCATATTTGATGGATTGTTACAAGTGAATTAAAAATTAAAGAATGAAAAGATTAATTTTTCCTAAGATATGAAGTAATAGTTGTAAATTATTTATGTAGTAATTGTATGCGATTTAAACTTGCAACACATGATTAGTTTAATTGTTTGATATATGAAATTGCAGTTGCAAAAAGTTAAAGTGATAGTTGTGAATTACTGATGGAGTAGTTATAAATAATTAATATCAAACTTTGCTAGTATAGTTTAACTATTAAATATATGAAATTATAGTTATAAAATGTAGTGGATAATTTTTTTCTCAAAACCACCTCTTCTTTTACTGTGCCAAATTATAATTCTTAGACATGCTTTATTGTAGTCATTGATTTTAATGATAGATAAAATTGAAAAATTAAATATTTTTACAAGTTTAAGGGAATCAACTATCATTCTTTAAGAATCGTGAAGTTAGTCAACTTTGATTTATAATTAAGACTGATCTCCTATATCCTATCAGGAGGAGAGGCGTTTTTGATATCCTATCAAGTCTATAATTATAACACTACAAGTCTCACGGAATTCTGACATGTATATCAAAACCAAAGCAAGCATATAGGAGAGGGGAAAAGAGACTAGCCAAACAGACTCCAGGGAGAAAAAACAGAGATGATACCAGTGACCAGTATCAATTTTTTTTCTTTCTTTCATTCTTTTTTTTTTAATGCAAGAACACGGCAAAACCGTGTAAAAAAGGCAAATGTCAAAGTCATGTCTAAAGCTATACGATTTCTACAATCATGCAGGGGATTTATTAAAAATCTTGATATCGAAGTTATCCCAAGATGGCTAGTGGGCAAATAGATAAGTGCATCTATTAACTTCTCTATAAACATGGTTTATATGCATCAATTTCAAACTCGTAGATGCTTTTTAATATATGCAAGGGGGATTATATATATATATATATATATATGAAAGAACTGTTAATTTCTTGTGGTACCAGCAACCGCACAGATCAATCTGAAGATAGCTTATTTTTCTCTTCTGTTTTTTTTTTTTAAGATGCATATTATCTAGATCAAAAGAGAGCAGCACAGAGAAAATACTGTTATAGATTCTAATAAATTATAGAAAATCAGACGAAGAAGAAGAAGATGATGATGATGATGATAAATAAATTAATTAATTAATTAATAAATGAAGCTGAGAACAAGCAGGAACCTGGAGCTTCCATATTCATAGAGCTTGCTGGTGCTGGAAAACACAATAACCCCAACTTGTGCGTCACAGAGGATCGAAAGCTCTCTGGCTTTCTTGAGCAAACCATTTCTTCTCTTTGAGAAAGTCACTTGCCTGTTCGTTGAATTGTCAATTCTCTTAATCGCAATCTTTCCTCTTCCCATTCCTCTAGGGCTTCGTCACAGCTTCGATCGCCTTCCAGATTAACCACACAAACAAATCAGTAAAGCTGCAATAATTATTGATCAAAGGAATTCCATAGAAGGAATCGGAAAATATATATATATATATATAATGTTCCAAAAATATAGATAAAAACTTTAAAAAAAATACAAAAATAAAATCGTAATAAACAGTGAATATTTGCATCGAGAAGCTGGAACTTACAGAGAAATATTGTTGGCGTCAGAAGGAGAGAAGGGGAAGAAGAAGCAGAAGACAGCTTCTTTTTGGGAAGGTCCTTACAAGAGAGATGCTTTTTGTGAATATTGCACTTTGAATACTTTTAAGGTTTTGTTTATCTCGTAACTCGAAGAAGCCAACATACTTTGGGGGCAAAAAAAAAAAAAAAAAAAACGGAAACCGGTTTTTGGGCAGTCAAAAACCGCTAGTTTTCAAAGTAAAGTTCTTTTGAATCATCGGACCTGATTGATTACCTTGACTCTCGGCTCAGGTATTTCTTTCTCTGTTTGAAATCAGAAAGAAGTTGAAGTTCACAGGAGAGACCGAACCGGACAGGTGTCGATTGGTGAGAGCGAGTGTTGATCGCGTGAAACATCTTCGAGTGGGGATTGTGTTTCCTACTTTTCTTGGGGATTAGGGTTTGTGGGGCCCGAAGAGCGATGGATGAAATGTATGAACTGACGAATGAGAAGGTGACACGTGGAGTGATAAAATCTGACGCGCGGACGATTCCTGCTTTTCGGTGATGGATTTGGCCAGAAGTGGTGAATGAAGAAATGGCTCTGTGACGACGCGCCAAAATCTAGCCCACAGAAAAAACTCAAATTATAAGATATCTTAAATATATGGCACTCAAAAATAAAATTTTTATGAATGATATTTTTTAATATTATTTATTATATTCTCTCTTTTTAATATTATTTTATAAATAAAATATTAAAGAATTAATGAGTATCTTAGACCTCAAACTATTATTCAAATAACATCTTGAATCTTGAATTTATAAAATGAGCATCCTGAACTTTAAACTATCACTCGAATAGCAAATTATTCCCCCATTATTAATTTACATATAACTGCTGTTACTTTTAACTATGTGGGGACTAATCCTCTCTTGACATGTGGCATGCCAATTGATTTACATAATAGTCAACATTGCATGGATAAATAAAGGCAGTACTTTGCTCAAAATTTACAAATTGAGGGGAGTTTTTACTCATTTTAAAATTTCAAGGTACAGGATACTCATTAACCCAATATTAAATGAAGGGACAATTTTGAAAGTTTACATTTTTGTTTTAAAAAAAAATAAAGTTGTAAGGAGTATTTATGGTATGCATACTTTTATTTAAAAGTATCTTATAATTTAAGATGGAGAGAGTATTTCACTTGACTTAATATAAGGTGATTAAATTATTAATTTTATGTTTTGCTCCAAAAAAAAATTATTAATTTTATGTAAAAATAGAATAAATTACCAATATTATCCATATTTAAATAAAAAATTATATTTACATTACTTTAAATAAGAGTAATATTTGAAAAAAAAAATTAATACTTTATCAAATGGCTCATAGTAAACCTGACACCTTGTGCACTTTCATTTTGCGAGGTAAATACATGAGGAAAGAAGACCTTACCCAGAAAGGCTATTGCAAAGGGCTATGATTCAACTTTCTAGTTCAATTCAGTATAATTATGGCTCAAAGTAGTTGAATTCCTTGAGTGGGATACCAAAGATGGCATGGATACTCTGTTCTGGAAAGATAAGTGGTTCACTAGTAGTGGGACCTTGATTGATAGATGTAAACAGCTGCCCCCCATCGAGCTACTCAATATGACAATGGCAGATGTTGTGAATGAGAAGGAAGAGTGGAATCTTTTGCTCCTGACCAGTTTTCATGAGGAAAGAGATATCAAGTTTTTGGTGGGCCATCCATCATACTTCGAGGCAAACTGATGGAAGAGATAGGATTAGTTGGGTTGTTGAGGCTAGCTAATAGAGATTTCTCTGTTTGTTCCATGTATGAAGCCCTAAGTTTGCACCCCAACGGCATATCAGATTTGGTTTGGAATCTTATTTGGCATTGGAGGGTCCTAGAAGAGTCCAATCCTTCATGTGGCTGGCTATGCATGAGAGGATTATGATTGGCCAAGGAAGAAATATGATATTCACTCACCTAACAACTGCGACTTATGTCATAATGAGACTGAAGATGTATTGCATGTACCTAGAATATATTAAGATTTTATTAAATAAGTTTATTTTAATATTATTCTTTCACTTTCTTTATTTAATATTAATTAAGTATAGATTTAAGGTTATTAAATGAATGATATTTTTAGAAGTTTATTTCTTTATTTTGAAAAAAAATAAAGTTGTTAAGTGTATTTAATGAGATTTATTGATATATAAAATTATGTCTAAAAGTGTCTTGTAATTTAAAATAGAAGGAGTAATAAATAAGAGATAGGCTTTTGTCCCGTTGTTGATCAAAAAAGAAAAAATACTTATAATAATGATCATCTATCTCTTCAATTAAGTTTGTATAATCCTTTGAGAATTAGATTTGTCAAAATCATAACATATACTTTCTCCTACTAAAAAATGTAAGATATTTTTAATTAAATATCTACCCAATAAATTATTTAATTGCCTTTAAATTGATATAATCTTTTTATGTTTACTCATACTTAATAGGATATTTCACTTAAAAGTAAAAAATTGAGTGGTTTATTTATTAAGGATATTTTTGAAAAAAGAATCATTGAGTACCGATTGAAAAAATTAAAAATTGTGTGTGTGTATATATGTATATATTTAAACATCTAACCTTAAAAAGAAGGGAGAATCATGTATTGTTAACATAATTAATTATTCTTAGGTCCATTGATAACTGAGTTTAGGAGTTTAACAACACATTGTATTGTTAATCTCTTAAGATCAATTGTTAATGAATCTAAAAGTAATTAATTTTATTGAATGAGACCTTAAATTAATTCTCTCTATAAAGGATGCCTTATATTTTTAATAGAAGGGTAATTAAAACTTTCAACTCTTTACGACTTGGGAAGAAAAATGAAATAAATTTTATATGTAAAATAAAAAATACTTTCAGAAAAAAATAATAAAAATAAATATATAAATAATAGCATAAAAGAGTGAAAAACATAGGACAATCGCATTGATGGACCTATGAAGACTCTTAATTACCAAAAAGAATCAAAACATTCTGAAAGTGCTCTGAAGTCATTAACATGACATCCGACAAAAAAATTAAATGGAAAAGGATGAAAATAATTTGCTTGTCACTTCCCACCGTCAAGCTCGTGTTATTCCTCACGTATGCTAATCAAATTGTTATTATTACTTGTCATTTTTCATAGAAACAATATTCTCACTTGTTATTATCCTCTATCATGCTTGTTAAAATATAACTTTTTAATTTTTTATATTCTTTAAACATTATGGTTACTTGTCATTTTCCATATGTATACTTTTAAAAAAAAAAAAGACCCTCATTTGTCATTTCCTTGCTTGTTAAAATATTGTACTTGTTATTTGTCATACTCGTGCTTGTTATGAAATTACAGTTCCTTGTTATTTTTCATATGTTTGCTTGTCAAAATAGTACAATCCATTTTTTTTTTTTACTACCATGCATGCTTTTTAGAACATTACACTTCATATTTCTTAAATTCGTGCGTGTAATACTATTATCATCACTGATCAGTTCTCATATGCATACTAGTTAATTAGAACAATATAATGTCTTTTCCAGGTGAAAAATATAGAAGGGTTACTTTTATCTTTTCACATTCATTCTTCTTGTCAAATGTCATGTTAGGGATTTCAGAGCAATTTCAAAATGTTTTGGTCTATTTTTTTTTTTATAATTAAGAGCCTTCAAATTTTTCCCCAAAAAAAAAAAAACATTTATCTCTACTTATATCTAGACACCCATACATTACACACATATATTTGTGTACTCCTCTGTTTAATATTATGAAGCATTTTTAATTGAATTACCTTCCAATGAATTAATTAATTATCTTTAAAATTACACATTTTTTCATGCTTACCACTAATTAATATGATGTCTAAATTAGAAAACCTTATTAATTAAGGGTATTTTTAAAATTCTTTTTATAAGTCACTTCTAACTAACTACCCAAGGCCAACGTGGGTTAGTTAGAATAATAAAATTGTCTTAAAAGTAAATTACATTCCAATTTTATCCCTACATATAAAAGAGTCATTTGATGCATGGGAAGAGTTTTTTTTTTTTTTTAATGGAAGGCCACGAAAAACCATGCAAACAGATTCATTAAGTCATGTCAGCATACAAAGGTTTCGTTTGATTACTAAAAGAAGTGGAATATAATAGATTGAAAAAATTAACATAAAAATGAACTAAATTATGCTTCCTCCTCATGGTAAGCATACTAAAACTCACTAATATATACTATAAATGTGAGAATTATCACACCCTCTAAAAATTTCATGAATCATTATTTCCAACCTCATGAACTAAATTATCCCTTTCCTTTATAAATTCAGTTCACTATTTCTTTTGATTATCTCATTTTAATCATTTTTTAATCAATATCATTTTATTCTTTTCTAGTAATCAAACGGGACCAAAAAGTTTCTACAACAAGGTGGCAAGATATCAAAAATTTAAATGTTTAAATTATTGATAGGAGCTTGGTCTATCGTCTAGTCAACGCAATTATTTGCTTCTCTAAAAACGTAATTAAATGTGATCAGCCAATTTCTCATAGCATGCAAATTCTCTAATTTTGTTGATATATTTAGCTAGAGGATGATTAGTGTGAGTGCTTTTATAGAGTCAGTAGATGTTTACTTTGTCAAAATTTTCAGTCCAACAAATGTTAAGAGAATAGGCTTTTGGAAATTAAAATATTGCACTTCGTTTTAGAATTTACCAACAGGTACTCTTAAAATTGTATATCAAATGTTACAAAAACTTTGAAAAAGTGACAAATATGAAGGACCAAGAGAATCTTCTAAAATGTGACTTATAAAAAGAATTAGAGAGTACCTATTATTTTTAAATGGATGGAGTATAAACAATAGAGAGTGTGTTATTCTAATTTTAAATTTAAAGGTTTCCTAGAGAGACTTTTAGTTTAATCCGTTAAAAGTTTTTAGAGAATGATCAGTTAAAAAAAAAAAAAGTCATTTCAGCAAATCATATGCTCAGCAGCAACATAATTTAGATCATGGTGCTTGATTTTGTCCACTGATTATTATTTTTCACTATAATTTT